GTGTGTGAATGTGTATCAATGAGTTAGTTTTTGTTCGATGGGCTTTGCCATCACTGAATCAATGTGTGTGAAAGGCCAAATGTGGCATGTAGTGTAAAAGCGCTTTGAGTGGTTGGAAGACTAGAAAGGCGAAGTACAGGTCCATTTACCATTTACCAAATTCCTAATATTAAAATAACAATAGTAGACGAACACGCATTACTTTGTATTATTGTTTCAAATTGGAACTTTTGGTAAAATTTGCACTACATTTGGATAGAAACTTGACTTTAGTTACCTTGTAGAAGAGAAGAATGAAGTTGATGGCAAAACATACAAACAGGGCCAGGAAACGGAGGTTGTAGAAGTTACGAGCCAGGTAGTTCTGTAAGGAAACAAATGTTTAATTCAACTGCTGACTGCTTTGCAATTGCCTGTCTTTATTTTGGAAACAATTTACAAAACAAGGAATGAGTATTATACCAAAACAAAAATGAAGAAAAAGACAGTATAAAACTACTTAAAAGAAGGGCTCACCAGCATCTTGGTCCGATAGACATCCAGCAGAGCAAAGATACTCGACATGAAAGCAGGCGACGCCTCTTTAGGCTGACTTGATTTGGTCTTGGGCTTCTCCTCCACCACTGGCTCCTTAGCCTGCTCCTCCTTTGGCTTATCCTCTTTCTCCTGGTTCTCTGTGCTGTATTCAAAACAGTTCATTTTATTTTGTATGATGATAATTCATTTTCCTCTCACTTAATTTTACTCACTCTGCTTTCTCTGGTTCGCTCTCTGGGGTTTCAACAGGCTTGGCAGCAGCTTTCTGCAAGAAGAGTGCATTTTCATGAGCTGAGAGACCGAAAGGAAGTGATAATGATATATAAAGGGATTAAAATCATTAATCACACAGATAAAGTTATTGAATTTTGACTGCGAACCTTCTTTTGATCAGTAGTGGAGGTCTCTGCACTCAACTCAGAAACATCACCCAGGCCCAGCTCCACATGTTTACCTCCTTCTTTCTTGGGCATTGTCAGCATCTCCAACATCATATCAACCTCTGCTATGTCACCTGTTGGTGTCATGGCTATATCTAGGCTTCCTGATGACTCGATAGCCTCCACTTTCTCTCCTTCAACCGCATCTCCATGGATACCAAACTGAGTTGGGTCAGGCATGTTTCCGAGGATGTCTGTCACCTTTATGTTCTTGGCTCCCTCAACCAGGCCACCGCCAAACATGGAGGACCAGATGACGTGGAAGAACCCAAATATGAGGCCATAGATTCCCTTGAAGAAGCCAGTGAAAAGCATCCAGAAGAAGGAGAAAAAGCCTGTGATAATCTCCTTGATGCTTAGCTTTTTGATTTTTTTGAACTGCTTGCGTACGTTTTTAACAGAAAACTTTTGGCGGACATTGCTGATCTTCTTCTTGACTGAGCGGCATGCAGTGGTGAAGGCTGAGGCAGACTCCAGGGCACCCTCTTCCTCTCCACCCAGCTCCTCCAGGATACTGTGCCCATCTTCTTCGTCCTCCTCCTCTGGTTGTTCAACCACATCTGGCTCAGAGATCTGTGAAGCTAGCTGCATTTCAAAAATGGTGTCCTCACAGAAATTCACAAACATCTCCATCTTCTCGCTTTCTCCACCCTCGTTGACCACATCAAAGATGAACTGACGTTTGGACTCTTTGACCTGGGGCTTCTCCCACTGCTCGCGGCTCGACTCACTGATCTCAAAGTACACCCTCTCGATTCGCTTTGCACTGCCCATGATTTCAATACGACCCAGATAAGGCTCAAAGTAGCTAAGGACACTCTCTGCCAAGTCTAAGAAGGTGGCGAGTCTGGAATCGTGTGGCATGTGTTCAGACAGGTTGGTCAGCAACACTGCTACGTTGAAGCCAATGTCTTTGGCTGGTTCATGGAATCGTTCTACAAACTCCTTGTAATTGAACATGTCATTCTCATCGGCCTCTGCACAAGAGAGCAGGAATTCAATCTCAGACTGGCTGTACTGCTTCTGGCTCTCCATTGACTTTTGGAACTCCTTCTTTGAAATAATGCCTTTAAACTCAGGATCATACTCTTTGAAATTGTCAGAGGTTGTCAGGTCCTTCAGTTTGAGGAACATATCAAAGAACTTGAGGATCATCTCCACATTGTTAGAAGACTCCACCAGGGTATCAACCATCTGCTTTCCAATTGTTCCGTTCACCACATTACCTAGGGATGGAGCACATGCATTTAAGTAATTATACAGAAACATAATACAGACATGTGCAACATGACTTTTAAACAGTACAGGCATGTACTAGAACTGTGTCTGTGCCATTTTTCATTGTATCTGACACTGATTGACAGCTTCAGGCTCTTACCCTCTAGCAGAGACAGCAACATGACAACCATGTCCTTCTGTAAATCCATCAGCTCCTTCAACAGCTCAATCTGACTGGCATCCTACAAAAAGAGTCTTTCTGTTAAAGGTTTGCTATGGAGGAGTTTTCACAACACAAGAACACAAAGTTGTTTAAACTCCAAATGTGTTCTAATGCCAAGATCATCATTGAAAATAGGTTAATAAAAGTTCTGTAAAATGTATCAAATTACCAACCTATTGCAGTTTTATGTGTCATAAAGTTCTATGTTTTTTACATAGTGGTTCCCACCCTATGGGAAAGGACCCATCAAAGGATACCAAGATAAGGAAGAAAATAGCATTTTCCTTGTGAATACTGAATATTTTTACCTTTTCAGGCCTCTAAAATCCTTAAAATGAAACAATACTTAGTTGAACTGCTTTCAGCTATTATCCACACTGTGATGAGGGGTCACAAGTAGATTTGTAAACTATGAGATAAATAAATTAGGTAAATGAGGATAGTTGTAGTGAATTATGGGAATTATGGTTATTAAATGATAAATATAATTCATAAAGATTTTAACCCACACACTGTGTTGCAGTCTTTGTGGGTTATTAATTAATGTACTTCAGGACATGAGATTTACGAGCCTCTCAAGCTGAACTCCTTTTTATTGGTTAAAAGATGTTTTACAAGTAGACAAATTATAGGATTTATTGTACCTGAGACAGCTTCATCTGCATGTTGGCAAATACATGCAGGAAGCCCACAACTGCATCCCACAGTCTGCTGTGAGCTAAACTCTGCTGGTTCCCAATACACGGGCCCTGAAGGAAAGAGATATGATGAGAACAAGAAAAAAAGACATCATGAAATAGCTGATGAAAGTAATTTGAGTCTACATTGTGGATTTAACAGTGTTTAATGAAGGATTAGCTTCTTACCTGAATATACTCAGTCAGTGAGTTAAATATCTGCTTGGCAACAGATAACGCTTTGGAGAAGTTGACTTTTCCAGTCTCATCAATGACATCTTTGCCAGAGTAGTACCAGTAGAAGTCACTGATAGATTCCTAAAGAGCAGGATCACATTAGTGGGCAATGACAATGGTAGTGTGTGTGTACATTTTGTGGTTTTATATTTGTGCTTTACACACCTGAAGGCGGAGCAGATAGTCCACAGTGCTGATAATGATGTTGACTGTGGTTGTGTTTCCAGTTTGGGTTCTCAGGAAGTTCTGGAAATCTGACAAAAAAATATTGTTTTAATTATTTTCCTCATCCTCATTATCTTCTTTCCTCCTCTAATGATTCACTCGCCTTCATGTAGCTGTGCACCCACAGCTTATGCAAACAAAACTAGCTTATCAACGAAAACACACATTGAGTACAACCTTACCTCCATTGTGGCCCTCACACAGAAGTTGCAAAAACCGGAACAGATCTTTAGTAAACTCATCATTCTGTAGCACCTTGGAACCTTAGAAAAAGAGACATCTTGGTGACTACAACTGTGACCCTATACAATGTAATTTATGTATTTATTTACTCAACATAAGGAGGTCTAATAATATGTGAAACTCCCCTCAGAAGCAATTAACATGAGGCAAGCAGGATAGGTTTCATGTTTAAAAAGTCCAGGGCCTTTAGATTGCAGGTTGAAAACTGAATCCAAAGTGCTTTTATGTAAAAATGCTCTTACATTAACAACAGTGAAACACTAGGACATTTCCATAAGCTGGGGGAAGCCTGATAACTTTCACATGCAGACCGGATTTGGCCTGATGAAGGGTGTCATTTCAGAAAAAAAGCAGCGAACGGACATGGTTACATAATTCACTTTTAAAACCAGATAATCTAGTCAACACAACTAAACAAAATGGGCAAAATACATTTCTGTAAGCAGATAAATCCATGTGAAAGTTAGACATCTGTATGGAAACCAGCTTTGTGAAATAGGCCCCAAGTACAAAGCAAGACAAAGCTTTGCTTAGGCTGTGGAAGAGACCACAAACCTTTAGTCAAACCCTTGAGAGGTGGCACTGATAGCCTTAGAACGACAGAGTGGAGCATCAGTAATAGGATTTGCATTAGTAAATGTTATCATGAAGGGAATGGGAACAAATATCACACAAAAGGACAGGCAATGGATTCTGTAGATCCACTTTCTGTGAACATTACCAGTTTGCATGCACAGTGTGTTCCTATAGACATCTGGGGAGGGGAGAGGTTGGGTACCAAATAAAGCAGGGAGTATGAACCACAGATATGAAGGAGACATTCAGGGTGAAAGCATAGCCATATCAGGATGATCTAAATTTGCTATTTACCCCGCTGAGTGTGGACTGCCATCGATGGGTTTTTAAAATGACAGGAAGGAGACAAACAATACACGAAGACATAAGCAAAAAGAGAGGACATTGAGTTAAAATACGAAGAGATATGAATATTTTGGCTTCGAGTGAAAAACAAAGTCATGCAGTTAAAAAGAATTGTTTTAGACGGGAGAAATCATAGGCCTGGGTTGTGTCTATGTTGCATCTAACAAGATGAGTACCAAATAAGAATTAAGTCATGGTAAAAATTCATTACAGTAACGGAGACACGAGTAGTAACAGTGAATTGTTAAACACAGAACTCAGTGGAAATGTTTAGCAGAGGACTGAATGATGAAAAGACGGACATGTGAAAAGCGTCAAGTGGAGAGTGTTTGTGTTGAACGTCGGAGAGGGGCGGAGGTTTTAATGCTGGACCATGTCCTCTAAGACAAGATTTGTGCTATTAACAGCCACTCACAGACCACTGCTCTGAAATAGATGGCAGGATATATACCTACCTACCTCTATATCATCACAAAGGTTAACAGAAAGTGGGTTCACACTTTAAATTCTCACATATTAACTGTCCCAGTTAAGCTCATACCTGCTTTTTTTTTTTACTGCAAAAGAAGACATTAAAAACACCACACTGACGACTTCAGTGACTTCAAGACTGTAGCGCAAGCAGCAAACTACTTGTAAAATCAAAATTCACATTGATCACAATGTAATTTTGATTATTTCATCTACAAGGGCCAGACAGCAACTACATATTAGGGACTACCTCTTATTAACAGCTCTGAATAGACACTGAGGTTATAAAGTTGTCATGGTTCAGCATTAGCTTGAAGTGAAGGAAAGGGGATTTTATGTTGTGTTTGTAATCAACAGGTGCTTCAACAGTGGGGATCTACTGTACTTCAAGAGAAAACCTATGCAATGTGGTGCTTAGAAGACTAAGGAAGGGAAAACAGGTATAATATCAAACCGTTGATCTAATAAGAAATATTTACTTACTTGAACCTTCCTCTGTCACCATGCCAAGTCCTTCTGCTTTGTTCTGCCTTTCAAATGCATTCAAGTCCAATACACTAGGGAAAGAAACTCTAAAGTCAAATACAAGCACTTGATGTTTAAACAGAAGTTGCTTTTTGCGGTATAGATGGTCCATCAGTACAGTACCTGCAGGACTGCATCAGTCCTGAGAGACTCTTGAAAAAGCCTGCATCTCTTTTCTCTTTCAGGTAATCAAGCATTTTCTGGGATAAGAGAGGAGACAGACATCAAACATCCTACTGTCCAAACAAAATGCTACTGAGGTGAAGTCTCTGAACTTACTGTATGGATATATGTTGATGAATGGACAGAAAAATAATAATAATGATGCAGTAAATAGGACAAATAGATGAACATAGTTGAATATTTGAGCTGTATAATCTGACCTGCTGAACTTGCACATTGCCTCCATTTAGAATGGAGATACCCAGTTTGAGGGTGCATGTCACCATGGGGCCCAGTCGACCTGATAAAAATGAAATAATTTAGGATAAATGTAGGACAGAAGCAGGTTTGACTGATAATAAAGGCTACATTCCTGCAGCAGATCAGACAGCTTCTGTAAAAGCTTTTTATGTGTCATGAGACCATTTTACTGCAAAGAAGTATTCATTCATTCAGTTTTATTCTAGTCAAAACTCTTAAAGACCTCATATTGAGCTAAGACTCATGAATTAAAGAAAAATTAAACAACTTCCACCACAAAAGAGTTTAAAGCAGAGGTATCCAACACATATTATTAGTAGGTGGGGCTTCAGATAAATTAAGGCCATCAAAGTTGCAAAATTATAAAATATCTTTTTATGTGGCCCTCCATGTCTGTTTTTGAGCTGTCACATAAAAGGCCACTATCAGACCGTCAGTGCTTGTAAAACAGAAAAAAAGAATATTAATAATAAAAAAATATAATTTCCAAATTGTTGAGTAGTGAAAAGATCAGCTCACGGTTACCTTTACTGGCGCTGATCATCTGCAGCACCATCTCAGCGGCCCCACGGGCGTGCAGCCTCGCCTGCTGATACAGGATCTTCTGCTTTTCCATCTCTTTTTCCTGAGGCGCAACACACGCACAAACAGAGCAGTCATCATCAACATGCTTTTTATTGTACCTGTTCTGAATTTGTAAAGGTAACAGGTATATTTTGCTTTGGTATACAGTAAGCTAAAAGTTATTGCAAAAGGAACATTATGATAATGGTCTGGAAGAGAATTTGTTAAGAGTATCGGAATGAGATTGCACCTCAAAAGTCTTTTCTTTCCCTTCCTCCTCTTCTTCCTCCTCATCCTCTGCACAGCTCTGAAGACACAAAGGTCAACAGTCAAAGCTCTTTTTTCATGTTAACATAAGTCTTACCAGAATTATTTATATATAAAAATAAGTAATAAAGAACACTACCTTTGCCATCATGTCTGCATACGCAATATACAAAGGATCTTCCTTTAAGTCTTTTTTTCCTATCGTTACTATATAATATCTGAATAACTAACAGCTTATCCATATTTTTGATTTGTCCAACATCTTATCTATCTATCACTTCCAAATACATCTCTCTCACTTTTACCCAATCCAATTCTCTTTTAACACTACAACATCCAACTTTTTTTCATTAAAATAATTAAGTATTTGTAAATCTAGCTTTTCTTTTAATTTTGCTTTTACGACATTTTCACTAGTAACCACACTTCAGTAATGATTTATATTATGTATTAACAAAAGTAACTACATTTCATAATGAATCAAACATTTCATGAATTATCTATATCTAATTTATCACGTGTACACAAAATATATTAGTTAAAAACAGAAAATCTACATTATCTTATCTTCATACATTTCCTTTTAACCAGATTTATACTATTCATAGAGAGTCCACAGGATATCTTTATCAGAATCCATGCCTTTAATTGCATCCACACATCTTCTGTTTAGTCACATTTAAAAATTCTAGGATCTTCTTAAAGATGCTTATTCTTATGCTAAATTATCAAATCCTATAGCGTTTAGTATTAAAATTATTCCTTCTTCTCCAAATCGAAAATACAAAAACATACTTTCTTCCTGTAGACTCACATAAAGCATGCTAAATACTCATCTCACATATAACTTTTATATTTTACATTCAGATCTTCTCTATGCGACACCCAGTCACGATCATTGGTCTGGATTCATACCACACTCAAAATGTATATCTACTGAAACTCATACTCATATATCCGCCGAGACCATAGATCATTCAAACACTCCATTCAAATCCCTTTCTTCTCACTCTCTCTCTCCATGCGTCACACAAAATCAATAAAACACACGGAGGCAGAATGCGCGCCCGACCCGGAAGCGGGCGACGGACAGGGTCGGCAACCCTGGCCGAGGGTGCGTAGTAACTGCAACAGCTGTTGTTTTATTGGTTTTGTTTTCTTATTTTGTCGTTGTTAGTTGTTTTTCTCTTCTTATTTGTTTCTTTTTGATTTTTTTGTTTGTATCATATTTTTTGTTTTGTCATAGTCACTTGTCATTTTTTTTTTTTGTGTTATTTTTCTTTTTTTGTTTGTTTTTTTCTATTTGGTTCTTTTTTTTTTTCTCTGTCACGTGTTCTTAGTTTTTGTACTGGTTTGTTTTGTTTTTCCTTATGTCATGTTCTTTCTTTGTCACTTTAACTTTTTGTTGTGCTTGCCGAGTGTCTCGTGACTCTTTTTTTGGCCACATGTTCATGTGTGCTGCATGATTCGCTTTCAAAATGAGATTTTTTTCTATATATCGTGTATTTCTTTCTTGGTCCCTTTTATTTTATATTTTTTTTTTACAGCGGACTGAAAATGAGGCACAGGTCAATTTTCCATGGTCGTGTGATTCAACTGGGCTAACAAGTATCCTATAAATGTACCTACTATGTGGCAATTTATTTTCCATGTGCAAACAACTTAAATACGACATCTCATAATAAATGAAATGAAATAACTAAATCTCCACTAAACCATTTTATACACGCTGCGCTGAAATTAAGGTTGCCTGTTGTTCCGCAGCGGACAATAGAAAACCGATCTCCTGGGAAACAAAAAATTACAGTGTCTGGGATAATTCCTGAGACAGTAGAGAATATGCCACGGTATATATATCATTTTTAACTGGTTTGCGTGATTCGAATTAAAGAATATTGAAAGTTGCACTGGCACCTGAGCTCTAACAACTAATGTAAACACGCAAAGCCTTCACACCACAAAATATCTTAGAGAGACCACCAGTGTTGCCAACTGGCCAGCTTTCTTTTCAGACCCTCTTAAGTCTTTTTTTTTTTTTAAAGTGGACAAATTTAGCAAGTTATTTCCAGACCAACCAGGAGAAGAAATATATAGATATTAGATAAATATATTAAAAGAATTAAATTAAAATATATCTGGCAATTGTAAATTGATTCCCATGCACACGCTGCTCAGGGAGTAATTGCCAGTCTTCTGCAGCAAGCTGCAGCGGGTCTTTTTCTTCTACTTCTTGGTGGCCATGCACAGGCCAGTCAGTAGTCTTCTCTCACAAAATGCCTACAAATGTCCCTGTAGTGAATGTTGCCCATCATTTGGCCTGAATTTTATAAATAATGCTTCAAAGTTATGTGATGTAAATTTCCATTTACTATTACTGTTTTAACCAGATCAGCAAACAAATTTTGCGTTTAACAACTGCATTTTGCACCAGCATGCTTTATTGATCAAACACGTTAGAAGTAATCAGGAAACAGTAACTGAACAATGAACTTTGGAAATAATTATGAAAAGTGATTGTGCCCATAGGGGGCATTTTGAATTTTTTTATTCAGATATAAGTGCAGGGAAACAACTTAGCAGGAATTCTGGTGGCGGACCAGAGTCTTAAACCTACATTCATTATGTTTCAATTGGGGACAATGTCTGTTTATGTCTGGCGACCAGATTGGAAGTATAGGTTTGAGGCAGGTTGAGGGACACTGAGGAAAAAAAAAGCCTAATTTTCAAACTCTGCCATCACAGCATATTAAGTCAATTAGATACCTGAGGATACAACAGATTAAATGGGAAACACTATGTCACTGACATTAAAAAGAACATATTTTCACCTCCTAAACCTTTGTCGGACAAAAAGAAAGAAATGCATGCTCACTGTAACAGCGCCTCACTCATGTTCAGTGATTTAACTCTCTCACCTTCTCTCTGTCAGAGCGTTGTGGCTGAAGTGGAGAATAAGTTGGTGGAGAGGGTCTGGCTGGATCTCAGCCACCTCCTCTTCCTCCTCCTCCACAATTTTCATCGGGGTTTTCTGCAGGAATCCACAGGTGTGAATAGTTAGCTCTGCCCAAGTCTCTTCTGATCACTAATCATCTCTCTCATGAAACATCATCCTACAGTTTCAACTCATCAACATTTTCTTCTTGACAAACTCACTGACAATTGTGCCCATTCACACATTTGTGAAAAACTCTGAAATGAGTCACATTCAACTAGCACTGGCATGCACATGAGTTTCTGTCATGTCCTGGTGATCAGTGGAAAGGACAGGAAGAGGAAAGTTAAGAATGGATGATGAATAGCGTTGGAACCAGTTTTCAAATACATGCATATTACAGCAAACAGATGCAAGCAGTAAGCAATTTGGTGATATGACTTTGAACGTGAAGAATGATCCTGAAGGTACAGGAGCCTGACAAAGAGGGACTACCACAGCTACACAAATCTCCAGGAGTCCAAACTAATCTGACAGATTTGTAGAATAAAACTGATGATAAAAATAATCTTCTCTAACAAGAACAGTGACTTTTGAGCAACTGTATGTAAGGCTGTACTTTAAACGTATGTAATGGCACAGTTTTAGTGTCTTGATGAATTTGCTGCACATCTGAATACAAAGATCTAATATGAAATGTGGTCTTCACATGACTACGCGAGCATGCCACTGACGTCACGGCCACAGAACGTACTGTAACGTCACCTTCACACTCACACTACAGACTTACAGAGTACAGCGAAAAGACAACTGATGGGTTGGATCCAGATCTGACAGCCAAACAGCTAGTGACTCCTACTTCTTACCACTGCTGTCAGAAAGGCATAGCCTGCTTTTCTAGTGCTGTGAGCGCCGGAGCTGGCCCTGTGTCTCCTGAGTTGGTCATGCAGCCTCTGACCCCTGACGGATCTCTGTTTGAAGGGTTTTGCACGCCTAGAGCGGGGGCCCCTGGGTGCTTTGGGCGAGGTCCCCACCCGGGTGCGCTCCCAAGGCTCGACAGGCGCGTGGCTAAAGAAGCATTCGGCAGACAGGACTGGCTGAGGGGTGCCAACGCAGGGCACATGGGGCAAGGGCAAGGCGAGCCCAGTACTTACTGCCAGATCCTGAACTAGCTTCTCCTCAAAGGAGTACTCCTCTGCCTCTATCCAAAGTCTCTGATAGGCCGGGATGAAGAAGTTGATAGCGCGATGCCTGGGGAGGGGGGAGGTGAGGGGAGGTGGGGAGGAATGGAGAGGAGTGGGGAGGGAGGTACAGTGGCATTAGGGCGGGTTCTGGTGAGTTTTTGGAGGAGACAGGAAGGAGAGATGTAGGGGGAGGAAGGGGTTACAGGAAGTGCATTTCAGGCAGGGTGGTGATTGGTCAATGTGGGACCCACTGGCTCTTCTGACTGGTCACGTTTGGTCTCTAAAATAACTGCAGTTACTTCCATCAGGTTGTAAAATTCATTAGAGGAGCATGCACACTTTAGGGGAGATATGCAGTTTTCCAACAAATCGGTAGATCTGCCAAAACAACTTATTTTCTTGCAATTTTTAGATGTACATCTCATATTTTTCTTAACAAAGATGCACAGATGTGTTGTAAAGCTGCACAACCTTTGGTAAAATGTCAGATGAAAAACAAATCTTTAAATCATCATAAGAGCAAGCAAAGTAACATGAAACAACTTTTATACTGTGAATTACTGTAACCAAGCATACTTTTGTAAACCAGTTAGCCAACTAATGTCAAAGTCAAAATTGTATTCAATAGATTTCTTTCTTTCTGTCTTTCTTCTTCTTTCCTTTCTTCATTCCTTCCTTCAGGGTACACCTGAAATGAGACAAAGGCCTGCAGCTTGCAGTGTTTTCACTTTCCAAATAAGTTTGTTTCAGTCAATTCTTGGGCTCATTCTAGCTGACCAATCAGAATCAACAGTGCAGAAACAATTGGTTGCTAGGCAGAGATCGGTCCACAGCCTGGTGGATGAAGGGGGGGTTGAACAGATGAAGCATTCGCCCCGTAGTTTCACTTTACCGTCAGCAGGGAGAACAGGCGGTCAAAGCTGGAGGCTTTGAATGCCCTTTCCAGCCAAACCTCCCGATAGCCATTCAGGAAGTAATTATTATTTTTGTAACTGAGGGAGGATGAGGTAGTGTTATGCAGGAAAACAACACAGAGGAGAGAATGTCATTAGGGAGGTGAAGAGGGCTTCACATGGGCACACAATCAAGAAAAAAAATGCCTCATCCCCCCCACGATTACTTGGTGATTGCTTGTTATTTTACAGTTAGATCAATATCTCATGTCAATATTGAATTAATGACATTGTACATCAGTTACTACAAGTGTGCCAGGTGTAAAAGAGACTCACCTGGGTAGATTGTAGAGTGGAGCCATGCGGAAACAAGCCACCACAGCACGCTTACGCTGTTTAGACAGCAGCTTATGCCACACACACTTCTTATTTCTCAGAGGCTGCTCCACCTGACAGACAAGGAATGACAAATGCAAAGTAGAGAACGACTGACTAATTACAATAAAGATGTTATGTGTAGTATTTACTCTAGATAATAGTAATATAGATTGAGCTATGGGAAACTGTGATGACAATCCAAGCTGTTACTTCAGCTTCACAAAGTAACTCTTCAAATTGTTTATTCTGTCTGACCAACAGTCTCAGACCCAACAAATAATACATTTAAAATTATATAAAACACAACAAATCCTTAGGTTTGAAGATGAAACTATGTGTTTTTACCTGATCCAGGTGGAACACAGCAGCAGAGATGCTCTGCACTCGATCCACTGTGTGTTCTGGGTTTTCAGGTTCCTCACTCTTCACCACCACGTCCTTGTACAGGTTCAGCTGCCACTGGACCGCTGGGTCATCAGACTACAACACAATAACAATGAAATCAATAAATATAGTAGCCTCGTACTAAACAGTAGTACTACTTCAATATTATTTGCTAAAAAATTTAAACCATGCAGAACGTCATCTTACCTTGTCCTGGAGATGGAGATTCTGACGCAAGTGCTCCTTTACCTCATCATCTGTGTCTTTCTATGAGGGGAAAGGGCATTCATGACAAAACACATAAAGCCACCACAATGGACTACACTTCCAACAAGAATCATATAAGTGAATCAAATATAAAAAAACTTGAGGCTGAAGGACAGTGTATTAAGAGAGAGAGTACATGTTGTACCTCCTGCATAGAAAAACACTAAAAACACTAAATATATCATGATCAATATTTAGTTAGTTAGTATTCAAGTGGTCTAAAAATCGTAGGTTTTGTACCCGGTCCTGTTTTTGTCAGCTTACCAGACTGTAGCGTATCTTGGCGAGGGAGATGAGCTCTTGGTCTCCTGGAGTGCACATGTTGAGGCCGATGGGCAACATCTTCTTTAGGGCAGCTACAATCAGAGAGGTCTGGATGGAGTAGTACTCGCCTCTACGGCGCTTGTGTTTCCTCTCCTGGTCTCCTCCGGACTACAGAGAGAAAGGAGACGAGCTTACTCTATGAAGGTTTAAGGTACTCTAAACCTAAATGACATCTTTATACATATCTTTTACAATTCTTTTTCTTTTTTCTTAAGAATTATTTTTATTCTTGCCTTGTAACTTAATCCTATTTTATTGTCCTTCAAGCACAAATGTTAGCAGGTTGTGGAATATCCTCCCCATTATATCCTGTATAGTATGTGTTTTTCTTTTATTCAATCTATTTAAACTTAACTTTTGCTGATCCAACTATGGTTTCTCCTTCATATAACAGCCCTTCAAGACAGGGTTGTAAAACTGCCTCAGAAAATCAGAAATGTCAGAGGACAGTTAAATTCTTTCTATTGATATTCTATGATCATAGGGATTTATCATGTTCTTTTTTCACCCCATATGCAATTTTTTGATTTTGTGTCCCATCAAATAATTATGAAAATATAAGTTTTAAATTACATGTTCTATCACTGTTCTATGTATATATGCACTTACAAACGTGATTTATTTAACATTATTAACTAATGATGAAATAAGATATTTGCTAACTAACTGGAGGTTATGAATATAACCAATGTTCCCTGAGGGAGGGAAATGAGGTACAACACATAAGTATGGGGATTGAGAAAGGGAATATAGAAAGGGAACTTTATAGCACTCAAATCAAATGCAGCCACAAAATCTGAGAACCAATCTAATGACTGTTCTTGTCAGGGCACAAAATGTGTGTTTCACCTTCAAACCATTGATTATGATAAATCACAGACTCTGGGAAACAAATTGCTTCAATATAAATCAGTTAAAAAGCACATTCCTCCTGGATTAAGAGCTGAAAGGTTTTTCTCCACTGTGAGCAATCGTGTCAAAACACTCAAAGAGTGCAAATAAATAAACTGACTGGCGCTGCCAAAACAAATAAACAACAAACTCTCACAGTGACAGCGAGTGGAGCCGCTGGACCAAACTGTCAACATCCAGATATATAACCTGACTTTATGACGACAAATATCCACATGAAATGTCATGTGTCGTAAACCCCCGGTGTTGAGGTGAAATTAAGAGGTGTGAACTATACAGTTGATTTGTAGAACATATCACATCTACATATTCAGTGGGTTCAGCATGTCAGGAGATCTATTAAAAACACAGGAAAAGTGCTTATAAAGACTTTTCCTTTCACTGCCAATGAAATACAGTAGCAAGAGCCTGAGCACAAGGGGATCCGTCAGTAAAAGAATTTAGGCTGTGCTTTTTCAAAGTGCTGACATAGTGAAGGGGAGAGCAGGAGAGGAGATAAGTCCAAATTAAACCCAGAGAGAACGAAGATGTACTCTGCTCCCTCTACTGGGTTCATTACAACAGGACAGATGTCTTACAGAATGAAGAGGTCGATTTAAAAAAAAAAAACAAGAGTTATTCTTGGAAGGCCTGTGCGCCACCTTTACTGAGTAAATGTTATCTACAACAAGATTTCAAATAAAAACTTAGGATTTTTACTGTCTGATAACTCTGACCATTAGATCAATACTAATAACTTGAGGCCAATTCTTGGCCAGGTAACAATATTTCATTCTACAAAGCTCAATTTCTGACCTATATGAAGCAAACCGGAGATTTGTCATTGCTGATTACTTAGCCCTTTTCATTTAACAGATTTCTTTAATATTTTACAGGATACAGCTGGTCTTTTTCAATTTTTTTTTCTTCAGGAATCCGAACAACAAATCCCACAAAACCACCAATGTGTCAGTCAATCCCTCTATACTTTTGGACTCTCCTGACATTTGTGGTGCTCAGCTTCAAGGATATTCAATCCCACTGAAATTGTAATTGTTTTTTTTTTTAAAGTTATTTCTTTGGCCTTTTCATGTCTTTATTGGATAGAGACAGCTGAAGATCGACAGGAAAGGTGGGTAGAGAGAGAGGGGATGACACGATGAACCCGGGCCGCTGCAGCAACTCAGTATGGGTCGCCAGCTCTACCGACTGAGCTAACCGGGAGCCCCAAGTTGTAATTGTTTAAAAATGGCAATACTATTTAGTAGGATCTATTCATTGTTGATTTTGGTATTTTCATAGGTTTTGTTGACAAGAGAAATAGTGAATATCACCAGACCTATACTTTAATCATGTCATCAGCAATATCTCAAATTTAGCTATTTTGTATTCATCTATATCATGCATAATATCCATTATATTTACCTTGGACATCTTCGTCTTTCCCTCTCCAGTCAGAAAGCCCAAATTGTTGATCTCATTCTGAACCACAAAGTTTTGTTCTTCACGCTTAAAGTTCTGGATTTAGCGAACAAAGAAAAGATGATAATCAGGAAAGACATCCTCTTAGTACCCTGGTATCAAATATCATATTGTGAGAGGACTACTAGACTTAATGGTGAGACTTACATGGGACTTGCACCAGAGGATGAAGATCTCAGCCACCATCCTGAAGAGCTCAGTGGAGTCTGCATCTGGCTCCTTCAACCACCTGGATCTGGAATAGACAGCGAAATGAATCAGGGACATTAAGTTGCATAACATCTATGGAGTAATAGTGGATAGTAAATAATTAAAAATATAAGTTGATAAAGCTAAAAATACAAGAAAATGCTTCTGGAAATCCAAATCTCCTTAAAGATCTTGAAATAAAAACGAATATTTTTATGTTGTACCTGCTGTTGTCCACATAACGGATGAGCATGGGGTAGAAAGCATAAAGGTCTCTGCAGAGCACAGCAAACTCATCCAGGATGAGCAGCTCGGCCTCCTGGTTGTCACCTTTACTGTCAGCCTTCAGCAGCTCTTCTTCAGCCACAACCTACATTAGCAGCACATCAACAACTCATCTCCGGCAATCAATTCATTAGTATTAAGGTACTCACAAACAAACACTTCCGATTCAGTGGCAAAAATCTCCTCCCTGCGTCCCCTCTTAGTAAGTGACGGGGTATTTTGACACTCAATAGGTGAAGTGAATGAGCATAATGTTCTTGGACTAGCTCCTCTGACTACTGACAGCTCCATATTTACAGTACAGGTTCAGTAGCTTAAGGTGGGGTCAGCAAAAAAATCTTTATACTTTAAACCACAGGTACCACTGAGCAGTCGATAAAATGTGCTGCTATACTACCACGTACAGTATATTTTACGCTCTCACCTTCACTGTCTTCTTCTTCAGTTTTTCCAGTGTGGGCAGGAAGTGGGTTCTCAGCAGATCTGCTCCAGCCTTAGAGATGATTGGCTGAGAGTAGACTGGAGACAGAGACAATGGGAAACTGATGCTGTCAAGAATTAGACACATTTTTGGAAGGATCGGCGCTTCAAGTTTTGAGGACACAGAGATCAAAATCATTCCTCTGTCCCTGAAGATTACTGGCTCTGGTGACAACTGTCACAACTGTCAAACTATATTTAGCGCTTAGTTTTAGAACAACTACAAGTTTTTAAGTTGGATCAGCAATTTGACTTTTTACCCTTGTCTCTCAAAATACAGTAATACAAAAAACAGGAAATATTAGTTAAAGAATAGATCAATAATAATAAATACATAATGTCCTTGTTTGTAAATGTGTTAAAGTAAAATAGTCAAATGTGGTTTAAAAAGTCAGACAGTGCTTCAGGCTATTTGCCCCCACAGCAGCCAATTATGTGATCTGGCCTTTTCTGAACTCCCACTGAGGAATGTGCACTAAAAATGCAAATGTTCAACAAAAATCAAATGGTCCCCACATGGGTTTCCTAATTTAAAACAGTTTTGTTGTTTGTTTGTTACTGAATTGTGACCTTAAATTTGACTCTTTCCTTGTTTATTGATGTTTTTCAAAAGAGAAGAGGGATAAAGTTTCTAACTCTACTGAGACAAACTTACATCATCTAATGCAGTGGTTCATAAACTTTTTTCATTAATGTACGCCCTTTGAAATATCTTTTTTTTATCCAAGAAACTTGTGACCAGCACAAAACAAAGAGGTACAATATAGTACTGCTCCAGTGTCAGATTTTTTTAAGGACACTTATATGTGTCATTTGAAATGTATTGAATCCATCACATCTTTTTGATAAGCTGTACTTTGACAATTTGACAATTGTAATTAAATTTGAATTGAAAATAGGAATACTGAATATCACTTACATTTGTTTACATATATTGTATTATCTTGAGAATTATTATCATCATTATTATTATTAGGGCTAATACCATCTGCAGTACTCAAAAGTACCACTAGGGGTACGCGTACCCCGATTTAAGAAATATACTGATCTAATTAAATGTAAATGCATATTACTGTGAAACAATTAATTTGGAATATTCCCTGATATTTCCCAAATACACCAAAGAAGCCGGGAAAAAAAGCAATCGGACCAGTGGGAAACCCTTTCGAATCCTATTTATTCTTTCTCAGCATTGAGCCTGGCACTTACCTGCAATCCTCTTCATCCAGGGGGCGTCATCGATGCCAAGGTTATTGTTGAGGATCCTGAGGATGTTTCCCAGGATGACGCTGAGGTGTTCAGAGGTCACCATAGTGCAGCAATGGGTACCTTCAGGTGAGTTCTCCGGACCTTTCTCCCACCAGTAGGACAGATAGTTACACAGCATGGGAAGGATCACCTCAATGACCTGCAGGAGACAGGCGAAGGTGAAATGTCCATGAGGAACTGATCAATGTGTTGTGTTTGGGACCAAAGGTTCTGAGCCACATTAATCCAAGAATATAAGCAATAGCTTCTAATAATGATTAATAATGAGGTCACAAAATATGTTTTACTTCTGTTATGCACATGTCGAGCTTGCAACACACACAGATATTGTTTAATTACACCCTTACACTTAGCTTGGCGTAATTTAAAGACTTCGAAAGTTTTTTATTTTTACTTTATGTGAACAAATAATTGTGTCTCTAAACTGTTTAAAGCTGTTAATACAAAATTTTTAAATAAAGGATATTACTACAAAATGTTTATCATTTTATATTAGATTATAAAATAATATTCAGCACTCACTGCAAAATTAATTCTATTCTTCTTTATGTTTTTAAAAAAAACTTGTAATAAACAAAGTAAATAAAGCATTCATTAAAGCCTTTAAAAGTAAGTCAAAATTGATGGAGCAGAGGCTGAGATATCCTGACTTACAGTACCTCATATAAACACTGGATGCTACTTTCCTACATAAGATGCAACTCAATAGTAACACAAGTAGTGTTGTTGTGGCACAAAATGCCCCCAAACTGCAGCTGTTTATATACAATCAAATATCCCATCAGCCCTTCAGACCTGTGGCATGTCACTGTAGCGAGCACCAGACTCTGAGACATCGTTGACATCTTTAAGCAGTCTGTCAAGACGAGGCATCTCTGGACACATCTCCTCCACTGTGTCAGGCATACTGAGAACTGGAAAAGAAAAACACCAAAGGCAACATTTTAAAAGATGAATTTCATAGAAATATTTCAAGAAACTTAAAAGCATATACACAGCAATGTCAAAATTAAAATAAGGATCAGTTGGGACACTCACTGGCTCTCTCTCGGGGGGTCTTGGTGTTGAAGACAGACAGCGGGTTGTAGGCGTTTAGGTCAGGCTCCAGGAACGCGACAGGAATTGCCCCCACCAGGATCGCCAGGCTCTCCCCAAGCGCTGGAAGATGCCTGCAGATCAACATGTAAATTCATACAGTGTAACAGAAAGACAGAAAAAAAGCAAAAAGGACAGTACACAAAGAATAAATTGTAAGTTTTGTGTTTGCAAAGAGTTCTGTGATCCCAGGTACATACTGTTGGTGACCAAATATTTTGGGTTACTGTACTGGACATATTTCTCTCAGTTCAAAGAGCCTTCACTGAGCACCACATAGTATTAGAATTAATTAAGACCAGATATCTAAGGTATGGCTGTGGTCAAACTTTTTTACTGGTTATTTTACAGCTTGAGAGTCATTTCAAGGTGAGAAACTATCTTTTCCACAACAGTTTCAGGAGGTTTTATTGGTGTGTAACAGTCAGTCAGGGAATAATACAACAGAATCATGGTTTTAATTAAGAACATTTCACAGCACAAAGTGTTTCTGTTGTGTTCTCTCCCCCTGGGCCATGAATTGTTTTTTTCATTTAATAGATTTTCATAGAATATAATCGTTATCTTGTCTGGCCAAAGTCCAAACATCTGTTTTTCATTTTCCATACTATGTCACAAAAAATGTGGCATACATATAGTACATTTATAATAAGATTAGATGAGGTACCATAAATCGTCCTGAATGCACTGGTCACTAAAATAGAGTTAATCAAAAAGCTGAGCAGACATATCCTAATTAACAGTAATCTGGTTTATGAATTGCTATTTCACAGTTCCTTGATACCGATTGTCATGATCATAGAAATTATAGCAAGGATGCTTAAACTTAAAGATCAAATATACAGTACTGTTCATTTGTAGAACCAAAAGCCATTTTACATCCTGCTGCATGGTTTAAGACAAATTACCTCTCCACAAAGACATTCTTTCCTGTTCCCAGAGAGTACAAACAGGTCAGGATTCGGTAGCAGGACAGCTGCACATCATTCACTGGAACCAACAAAAACATTCATCAAGCACACATACAGCAAACTTGTACTTATGTAAAACTTAAAAATGACACAGTGAACTATAATCTTTTAAAATGGTGGCATGTCTCTATTGTGTAAATGTAGAAACTATGCATAATGGGCATGTGAAGACTGGGTGTTTATAAAAGACCATTTGTTATGAGTTTCAGTTGGGGACAATGTAGTGGTAGGTTAATTGATCACCCCATCTCCTTTGCTTTGTGGCATTTATTTGTATTCCATTTTATTTTCCTCTGGGAAACTATGTAGTGTGACCATTGTGTACGTTTTTATTTAATAATATATAGCTGAGAAACCTATTGTCAGTTTTGTGTTTGTACATATTGTACATATTTATAATATGTATATCCATTTATTACACTCTCCCTGGTGACAAAATCTGCTGTTACTTGTTTATTGTATCTGTTATATATGGTTTTTTTATTCAAAAAGAAATACAAATAAAGTTTTTAATAAAAAGTAATGGTGGGTATGGAAACAAACTCACACAGCAGGTCCACTTCAAACTCATATGTCTTGATGTGTTCAAACAGGGCAGTGAGGATGGGCAGCAGCGCCACAGTCACATAGTTGATGCTCTGGGTGACGCTCTTCATCTGGGCACGGGACTGCATGAACTTCCCCAGTTTTAGCATCTCCAGAAGCTTATCCAGGTCCTCTGATGCGTTCTCAAAGAAAGCTCGAAACCCGGCTTTGACCAGCTCTGAGCCTGACTTCATGACCGTTCTGAGAGAAGGGAGGGAACACAAGGGCTTATGTGCATACAACAAAACTAGATTGTCTACTTGATGGATCATGATGCATATACAGACAGCGATTCATGCTTACCTGGTGTCGAGTGAGTGAGTGAGGATGTGCAGACAGCTCACCATCATTGCAGAGTCACTTCCTGTAAGAGAAACATTTACTGTACATGTGGAACAAGATTCAGAGCAAAGAGGCACACGAGCATACAGACAAGGCAATGCAAACCTTACCAAACAGAGAAATCCTGTGTCTGACAAGAGCTGCCAGCTTACAGAACAGGCTGGAAAAGGAAAAAGGTAAGAACAGAATTGAACAAAAAGCTTCAGAGAGGACAAAGAAGAGCTGAAAAAAAGGAAAGTAAGCAAGGAAATAAGAAAAGGTCTGATGCAAATATGAAAGAGAAAGTCTGCACTCTTCTCTGAGATAAAAGGAGGTAACCTACATATGGCAAAAATAACCTGACAATTGAAAAAATGATTACACAGATTGCTTCTGCACAGTACCTGGTGACCATCTCCTTCTCTTTGTTGGAGGCACAGCCACAGCTGCTAAAGTTCTTGCTGGGCGTGGACAGGAAGTAGAGACAGTGGTTCTTTAACGTTTGATCTATCAGAGGAAGCAAGACCTGGAGAGAAGAAATGCAGCTATGAGACTAATACTTAGTAAGTAAAGTAAACTCATCAATATTTCAGCGGTTCATTTGCAAGAAGATTTAAAGGATTTCCAGACCTTGGCAAAGAACTTGATTTCCTGGTCATGAGGTGATTTGTCTGTCTTCCCACTAGTGGCCATGGCCTCTGGATTAACAACAATATTCAGTGGCAAGGTCAGTGTCATGGAAGAGTTCTGAATCCAAGTAAAACAACTGTTAGTGCTCATTGTACCTGTGTTCAAAATGCCCCACACTCACCAAGATGAGCGATGAACTCCTGGGCAGAGTCGACATACTTCAGCAGCCTTTTGAGGAATTTGTAGGTGAAACGCTTCTCTATGGATGATGAGTCCTGCTCCATGTCCTTCAGACCTCTGTTAGATAAATGCATCACAAATTACATAAAATACTTTTTTTTTTACCATCACTTAACCAAAAGCAAAGTCTCTTAATATAAAGAAAAAGTCCTGTATTCATAGTAGTGCTAATTAGGATTTAAACTAGAATAACTTTAATTAGGAACAGTCTATTAGTCAGGTGAAATCACTGCGAATGTGGGGAAATATTGTCATTACAAAGATGAAATTGATGGTTAAGTTTGGCCTAAAGCAAAAGCTAAAGTTTTAAAACTGCTTTGAGCTGTTGTGACATAATGATTATAACTTTTTTACTTATTTCTTCAATGAAAGATAAATTGGATAGAGAGGAGGTTAACCTTGTGATAACATAGCCACTGATCTGCAGAAACTTGAAAAGCTCCTGGGCCTTCTCTCTGTCTCTGTACTTCTCTTTAGCTGTCAGGGTGTCATAGGGAACCAGCAGCGCATGGCTCCCTCCTCCTGGTAAGTCAAATCAAATTAAAAAATACTTTCAAATGCATTTTACAGAAATCATCAAGTGAGAATTACTTATTAATTATTAGTAATGAATCATCCCATGATGAGGTGAAGTGCATTTCAAAACTGCACATTGACACACCTTTGCTAACAAATTCAGTTTTCTTCTTCTTGGCCCAGATGTTGTGGTAATTTTCTGCAACCACCTCCACCATTCCCTGCAGATACGGTAAAGATGCAAGTTTCATCAATTCTGAACTTTAATGTTTATACGAAAAACTTCTACTGTCTTTCTTCTGAGATTATAGCATTATGTAACAACTTATTATAAAAATGAATGTATTATTATTATTAATTATATAACAATTAAAAAAAGTTGAATAAAAAACAAACCTGTAACTCTCTAGACAAAGTGACATTGTGCAAGTCCATTGGAGCAGGACTGAATCCATTAACCTACAAAGTCAGAAAGACAATACAAACACAAAACCATATTTTACCATTAAAAACAATAAATGCAACAGTTACTTTTACAGTAACTTCAAACTGCAGCAGCTACTTCTTAGTCTCAGACAAAATTCAGACTTTACAGTATTCATGTTGCCTAATAACTTTAATGATAACTAAGGGTGAAAATTTGTATTTCTATGATAAATGAAGCAAGATGTTGTGATACCATTATTAATATAAGAGATTAGCTTTGTTGCTTTGTGTGTAATATTCTTGCAGGACAAGGGAGTGGTCCTCCCATTTAATCTTTTAATGGGGCCCTACTATAAATTATCTCAGCTAAACGGTGCAAAAACGCAACACCTGAGGCTACTTAACACATAGGATGAAGGCAACTTTTAAAAAATAGAGTCTTCTTGATTGATTAAAAGTATTATCACAATAAGGGGATCATACATCAGAACGTTCTACCTGAGACTCAGAGATCTTTCGTTGTTTTTCGCTCTCTCGTTGTTGGAACATGGCTTCTCCCTCCTTGGTCCTCTCAATGTTCCAGCCCATAGCGAGCATGCTCTTCAGTGACTCCCTCACAGGCCAGCGGTACGTTTCTCTCTCCTACAAATTGAACATGCAAAAAGGTCCCTACTAGTTCAACTCAGGTGAAAATCTTTATACAAGTCAGACAAACACATCTGATCGGAAATTAAACAACTTTATTAATAATCTAAAAGGATGTTAATTTTTGGGTTCTTTTCCTATTGGTGTGTTAGTAAAAACATTTATATTGCCTTTCTTAGATTTAGGTAAGGCAAGCAAAAAATATTTAATAATTTATTTTTGACCAGTTTTCTTCCTTTCAAGTTGGTAAACATTCATTTGTGTCTGAAAAAACACTGGACACTGACTTTGCAACCAACACAGCTATTTCTGTAAAAAAAAAAATAAAAAAAAAAGGGCATCAGCTGGTGCAGAGCAAACCAAAGTAAACCAGACAACAAAAATATGTTCCAGGGCACACAAGGATAGAGTGAACTAAATGTTTTGCATGTTGCTTCATCTGATTTGCTCGAATCTCAAGGAGTGTAATTGATGAAGCAACATGCGAAATGCGTAGTTAGCGTCTTTTTGTTTTGTTTTTAATTTAATAAAATAGTGTCTATCCTACTATCCTGGTGTGACACAACAGCTTTGCTACTGAGGAAACTAATCTACCTGTAAAAGCTGAAAAATTTAAGTTGTTTGATAAAACGTGAGCAGTTACGAGAAAGCTTGCTTCTCCTCAAGCAGCAGCTGTGTGTGTATCAGTGTGCATGTACCTTCTCACTCAGCGCTTTGTAAGTCTTCAGCAGTGGATGGGTTTTGGCCTGTTCATCCATACTGTCTCCATGTTTCCAGCCTGCTGACACCTGCAACCACAGTTTATTGTAGGCCATGTAGTATACTAGATTTCAGGTATACAAACTCTACTTAAAAGTAGTATAAATATTATACTGTCAGTACTTGCTGGCCAGGCATGTTATTATACCAGACGATGTAGAATCAAATGTAAATACATTTTTTCTCAGCGGGGTACTGAGCCCTCCACATGCATCTATTTTATATTAAATGTAAGGACGAGGGAGGAAAACAGTGAAAAAACAGCGAGGGACTAACCTTCTCTGAGGACCACTTGTCATGTGAATGCTCTGCATATTTGTTGGCAATGTACTCAAGTTTTTCAGGAAGGGAGATACTAGAAAGGGAAAATGAGAAAATGTTTATGTTATTTCAAAGTAAATATTACTTATAAAAGCTTAGTTTTAATTTGTAAATCAAGGCTCCACAGAAACACACAGATTTTAATTAAATGGCTGTTTTCAAACAAAAGCTAATATTTGTAATTATCTTAAATCTTAGATCTTAAAAAATCTGGACAGGTAAAATTTTCAAACCACTCACTTGGCAGTGTTGATTGGTTTGGGATCAAAGTTGCCCTGTGCATCCACTGACACCTGTTTCTCCAGTGTTGCTCCAAGGCTGGCGTCCACAAAGTCTGGAGGTAGGGCTCCAGCAATGGCACACAGGCATGACTTGGCCATTTTGAAAAGTTCAGCATCATACTTCTACAGAGAAGACAAAAAGGAGGGTTACAAACTGGCTTTCACACTATTTTCTCTGTAATGAGGACTCGTCAGCTATTAGATGGACAGACTGAAAAGTCAGGGAAAGAAAAAGAGAAGGAGGAAACATGAAAGACACAGAGCTGGAAGTCTACACCCAGCCAGGGCCTGTCACAAACTGATAAATGATTCATCTGGTTTGGTTTTGCCTCAGCTGCACTGCTCACAAGCACTTTATTGAGCTTTCACTTCACTACCTCTGACTACCAAGAACTTAACTCTCTTATGAGAGCCACACTTAAGAAAATTCTCTGAAAACAGAATATAAAAAAAACACAACAGCAAACAGAGGAAAGCTTTATGAAAGCAAACACTACTAGACTAATGCTTATTTTTTTATGAAACAGAGGGATTTGAGGAAAATATAGCCTTGTCTCCTGACACTTCTGATTTATTCTGAGAGACAGAAAATGAGAAAAAGAACAGATAAAAGTGAATACAGAGAGGTATTACAGCTTTCCAAAATCATAAATAATATATTGGTCCACGCACAGTCTCAGTTTATCTTGAAGAATATTCTACATAACATGGTTACTGGTGGTACCTTATGAGAAAGGGAGTCAAAGATTCCCCAGAAGAGTTTCTTGGTTAGGAGGAGCTCCTCATCGGAGGCTATGCCAAAGCTGCCCATACCAGAAGGCAGGCAGTAGTACTTCCAGTTCTGCTCATAGTGGTTTTTCAGAAGCTAGAAATCAGAGATACAAGAAAACAATTTCAGTTTTAGCTTATTAAATATTATTGCCCATTAATGACCAGTCAGTAAGGTTTTATACTGTTTCATAGCACAAAATTAACATTATACTGTATACAGAGTCAAATACATGATGCCTAATGTCACCTTAAGGTTAAGAAAGACTTGTAGGAGGAAACAGTTGTACTTCTCAGCAAGTGAGGATGAAAAATGGGTGGTGAAAATGCGTCTGATTGCAAGTTATAATTATCCCATAACTCTTTCGACTATTAAATCAAGCATAGTAACAAGGAACTCCAGTGTCTCACCCGGAGAGGTATCTTGCAGTATTCAGTGAGCATGGGAACATCGAACACCAGCCGTCTGAGCAGCTGCTGCATCATGGAGGGACGCAGATGCCTGTGAAATTTAAAAATTACATTATTTAAAGTGTGCAGGATTCAGTGGCATTTAACAGTGAAGTTGCAGATTACAATCATTTGAATACAGCTCAATCTACCAAGTAGGAGCGACTACTACAACTTATTCTAAGATAATGAAAATACATTATTCTCATTTTCAGATGATTATACACTAATGAAAACAACCTATGAATATAAATATAATATAATATAATCTTACACACTGGACCTTTAATATTCTGTATTTAATGTCATTGTTTCCTGCAGTTTGGGGTTTGCGGTGAACATACCTACCAAAGTGAAACAGAGGGCTGTGTTACACTAAAGCCTGAGACAAACTGTTTGATAAATAACATCCTTAAATCTCCAGCTCCCCTTTAATATTTTTCACTCAGCTGAGTCTGAACAAAACTCGTCTGGCCTTACTTGCAGATAGCCAGCAGACACTCCTCGATGGCGTCCCTTTGGGCTTTGGTGAGTGAGCGGCCTTTGGACAGCCGATAGATGGTGTGCAATAAGGAGTCAATCAGCTGTACGTAGTGCTCTGTGCCAGCAAAGAGAGTGGCACAGCGGGTCAGCAGAGGCAGCAGGGCCGAGCCAATGTACCTGTTCATGGCCAATGCCGTCTCAGTGGTGCTCAACACCTCCTGTGCAACAGAGAACAAACAATATTCAACTTCAGTTTATTTAAAATGCACATCAAAGCAAGAAAAACAACAACAATAAACACACAACATCACACGTAAAAATACACACACACTCACACAAAGGTAATAGTGTTAA